TCTCTCTCTCTCTCTCACACACACACACACACACACACACGCACACGCACACCCACACACCCCTCAGCGCCTCAAAGACACAAACACACACACCATCTCAGTCAGCGGTGTCACTCTCGTCTTCGGCTAACTGCTTGCTGCAGTTGTCGGATTCGGGGTCATCCTCAACAATTTGTTTGCGAAGCTTGCACCGCTGTCTTTTTAGCTTTGGCTGTGCAGCTGGATCGGCGGTCGTGTTCTTCCGAGACCTGCCACGTGGAAGTTTTGGTTTCGGCTGTTTGTCCTCACAGGGCGCCTTACTCTTCCTCCCAACCCTGCTGATCCACAGGTTGTCATGTTGGGCTTCAGCTTTGTTGGCTGGGAAGTCGCTTCAAGTCGGGGGAATTCTTCGGTAAGCCAGCAGCCTCCACAGTTTGCTTTCGACGCGTGTACACGGTCTTCGGTGCATGCTGCTGCTGCTGCTCCTCGTTGTTCTCCATCTTTTCCTGCTGCTGCTCCTTCTCACTCTCTTCCAGCTCCTCTTCTTGCTGTTCAATGCCCTCCTCTTCCTCCTGTTCCATCTCCTCCTCTCGCTGCTCCATGCTAGCCTCTTCTTCTTTCTCCTCTTGCTCCATCTTTTCTTCTTCCTGCGCTGGTTGGCCAATCTCGTGTTCTGCCTCCTCCTCTCGCTGGTCCATCGCCTCTTCTTTCTCCTCCTCTAGCCGGCCCATATCCCCCACTGACTCCGATTCTCGCTCTCCAACCTTCTTCTTCAGTTTCTCCCATTCTTTGCGGGTTGGTATAGCTGCGCGTCGCTCCTCCTCCTCCTCCCTCATTCTCCTTTGCACCCGTTCTTGATCCGCATCAGCTCATGCCTTTGCACGGTTGGCCTCCTCCTCATCCGTATTGATTGGATCGGGGCGAAGCACCATCTCCATGTCGGTGTCAGTCTGTGGTAGCTCGGCATTCGATTGGATGTTGTAATGCGCTGTGGTATTCGCTGTGCACTGAGATGGTGTTGTAGGCATGCGTTCTTGATGGCGCTATGCTGCTTCCCTCCTCCCAATATACGTGGTGCATGGGATTGACGGCGGGATTCCCAACTTAAAATCATCGTCCGATGACTCGTCAACCTTCCCTTCACTAGACGCTTCCGACCATGGAGTCTTCCCTTTCTACACATCGTCGTCAAGGTCGTTGTCGTCGGTGCTTTCCTCCTCCTCGTCTTCAAGGCTTTTCGAAATCCGGCCCTTTGGTGTTTTGATGAAGGCCCGTTCCTGCACCAGCTCCTCCTCTGTTATGTACTTCTCCTCCATGGGGTCCTTCAAAATAGAACCATCGTCCACCTTCGGCTGTGGAAGAGACTCGAAAAACTGCGTCCACAGGTCGATGTAGCCGTGGTCCTTCAAGTTCTTCCCGGACCGCAGCAGCTGCATATTTCAATGAATATACACCAACTTTTTCAAGGTTGAGGGGTTCAACCGATTCCGCCGCTTCGAGTGGGCCAAGTCAATCGAAGACCAATTCCGCTCTGCTGGAGTCATCGTGCTCCACATGCCCATTACTTTCATAGCAATGGACTGCAGCTCCGTCACATCGTCGCCATGAGGTGCCCACCACTCCGACGGCGAGATGGTGTCAAAATCCACGACCGCATCACCATCCCACATCTTTGAGTCCTTCCACGGGGGGCCGGCGGGTTTCTTGTGGAACTCTCGCAAGTTGTTGAGAATCTGCACGTGGGCCTTTGATTCCAAGGACCGCCGATTTGCCGCTGCAAATAACACAACGCATTCTGCGCAAGTGCTTTGTCCCGGTCCAACAACCACTTCGACTCTCTCCTCCGCGGGTCGAGAAGAAAAGCCAAGACGTGTACCGGTTGCCGCATCATCTTCATGCGGTCCCTCACCTTTTCGAGCACCGTACCTCGCTGCTCCTCCGTCAACACGACCTCCCCCAACGTCCTTTCCATTAGCCGGTCGCACTCCACAAGGTTTGACGGGGCAGTCCCGTCCTTGTCCATCCCCCGAGGCAAGACATACAATGGCTCCAACACCTTCAACTCCACAAGGTTTGACGGGGCAGTCCCGTCCTTGTCCATCCCCCGAGGCAAGACATACAATGGCTCCATCACCTCCAACACCTTCAACTTCGGCCACCCACCCTCCCTACGCAATGTGAAGAAGGCAAGATCCGCTTTGGACTGCAGCTTGGTTGTCGACCACCGCATCGCCTTCCATCTCCCGACTAGGCTCCCTTCAACCATCTGCTTCAAAACCGCCCTCCGATCGTACAACCGCACCATCATCATGTAGACCGACCCAAAGCGGACCTCAGTCGGTCGCAACAAAAATAATGAGCCGTCCAACGACATCATTAGGCTAAGTGTGCAATGGTGGTTCCGTATAAAGTTCACAATGGTGTGGCTCCGCTTCATCGTGCCCTTGATCCAATCCAGCTTGTTGATGTCCTATAGCAGCAAGCTGCAGCAATGCGCAACACACGGAACCCAAGGCATCCGTGAAACCGGCAAGTTCGTGCGCCGCAGCTGATAAGAAACCCGAGAAAAGCCGGCCTATTTGGCATTTTACTAGCACGAGATTTTGTTTTTTTCCCATGAATCGAAAACAAAAGAATTAAGTTATGTCACGATCTATATTCAAAATTTGCGCGGCCTTCTTGTTCACCTACGCATTGTCAGTGCAAATTGCATTGATGCATTGCCGCCCCACCTCCCTCATTATATTATCCCAAAGTCTGGTCAGCGCTGGTCCGATCTTCTTTTTTTCATCCATCGACACCGTTGCCACTAGGATCGCTCCCAGCTCCCCCGCCGCCAAGAAATTCATGACAGGTTTTTCCCTCCAATCGGTTGATCCGTCCGAGATGAAAGTGCAGCCCGTGACATCCCAGTATGCAATCGGAGGCTGCACTTACTTTTGAATGCGCAAAAGGATAAAGTCGAGCATCACCGTCTAGATGTGCTTCACAGAAGGCAATTTCACCTTCGGTCGTGCGGTAGCCACCTCCAAATACACCTCGTGCAATTTGAGAGTGGTGTCGAAGTTCAAAAAATTAAACGCAATTCCCCCCCGTAACATTGTCTCCGCCCATGCAATGCCCAACTTCTTTTGAGCTGCGTTGTGCACCCATCGTTTGCTGCACCGGAGTCGCCCTTGTGGTGGAATCACACTCTTCTCGCAGTGCCTCCCTCGCTCCACTTTCCTTTCCCCGCTGCGCCATCTCCTCGACCGGCTCCCTCCCTACGACAACCGGTGGTTGTGGCTCCTCGTAACTACGACGAACAATCGCGTCCTCATGATCATCGTTTGTTGCAGCCCCCCCTCCGACATGTTGTGCAGTTGCCGATAATTTTGCAATAGGTAGCGAGTTTTTTGTTGCTTGGCAGCACCTTCGCCCCTTGGGCCACCAGCTTATGCACAATCTTCCCTGTCCGGAAAGGGCACGACTTGAGCATCTTCATGAGGTGTTCAACTGCTTGTGTTCTCATGCCCCTCCAATTGGTCGAGCATAGCCGACACCTCAGCCAATACTCTTCCCGGCCCTTCGGCACAGCCTCCTGCCCTTGTTCCATGTGCTTCCATGTCAAGTTCTCGCCCTGCAGCTTCTTTTGCCTCTCTTCAAGCTGTGGGACGAACAACGACGGGTCGGTAGCCGGTGTAGGGTCTTTAGAAGTCACCCCCAACGAAGGTGTATTTGAGTTGGCGATATCCTTCCCACTGCCCTCTCGTCTTTCTGACTGCCTCCGACTTCCTTGTCCACCAATCGCACCCCTTGCCCTGCTCCCACCAGCCATGGTGCTGCAACCACCTCCTCCTTGCAGCTTCAATTACCGACCGAAAAAAAAAAAGAAAAAAAAAAGAAGATGGTGCCGCAACCACCTCCTCCCTGCAACTTCAATTCTCGCCCAACAGCTCCAATTAATGGCCGGAAAAAAAAAAAAAAAAAAAAGATGGATGGAGGGATGGCGGGATTGGAGGATGGAGGGATGAAGAGTGCTTAACAACGTTCAAAAAGAAGAAGAAGAAAAAGAAGATGGATTGACGAATGGAAGGGGGGGAGGGATGGCGAGATGGGATGGATGGATGGAGGGAGGGAGGGAGGGAGGGATAGAGGATGGAGGATGGAGAATGGCGAGATAGGATGGAGGGAGTGATGGAGGGAGGCTGCTTAACAATGTCCAAGAATAATAATTATAATAATAATCTAGCTTTCCACCCGGGCGCACGGGGGACACCACCATGCCCTCGAGCAGGCACCCGGGCTCCTCTCACACCAAGGAGGAAATAGCCTCAATTCTTTTTTTTTTGCTGCAGCCCTATTCCAAACGTGCCAACTTTGTCTTTGGCGGTCGGCCCATTTTGTTTTGGGGTCCGGTACGCCCCGTTTTCTAGGTTTTTCATTTTGGGGGGGATTCTGATCGTTGATCTGCATAGATCTACGGTGCGCGCTGATACAGGATTCGAATTCGCCCCCTCCTGCACCCCTTCCCCCCCCCCCCAACCCACAAAAATCAACATGCATGAAAATAAAAAAAGAGGCCGGATTTGTGCACTACTCCCAAAGCGCAGCAAGGTCTCACAATTGAAAAAAAAAAAAAAAAAAAAAAAAAAAAAACTTGGTGGGTCTTTTGCATGCCCGGGGTACCCCAAGCGGGGTGCCTAGGGCGCCCGGTTGGGCGCCCCAGGAAAGCTAGATAATAAGAAGAAGAAGAAGAAGAAGAAGAAGAAGAAGAAAAAAAATGGATTAACGAATGGAGGACGGGGAGGAATGGCAAGATTGGAGGGAGGGAGGGATGGCGAGATGGGATGGAGGGAGGGATGAAGGTAGTGAGTGATGGATGGATGGAGGATGGAGGATGGAGGATGGAGGATGGCGAGATGGGATGGAGGGAGGAAGAGATGGATGATGGATGATGGAGGACGGAGAATGGCGAGATGGGATGGAGGGAGTGATGAATGGATGGATGATGGAGGATGGCGAGATGGGATGGATGGACGGGAGGATGGAGAAAGGCAGGGATGGAGTAGGGGAGGAGGGGAAGAAGAAGAGGAGAGAATAAAACCTAGCGAATGGAGCAGAAGAAGAAAAAAAAGAAGAAGAAG